AATTTGCACCCCAGTATCTCTATTTGCACATCTATCATTCCAGTGTTAATACGAAATTGTAACTATTTTGCACTATAGCCTATTTATTGCCTTACCTCCATAATTTAATACATTCGCACACACTGTATATATATTTTCTGTTGTATTTTTTGACTTTGTTTTGTTTTACCCCATATGTAACTCTGTGTTGTTGTTTTTAATCGCACTGCTTTGCTTTATCTTGGCCAGGTTGCAGTTGTAAATGAGAACTTGTTCTCAAATGGCTTACCTGGTTAAATAAAGGTGAAATAAAAATAGCAATGTGTAGCCTGTGTCCGAAACAACCTAGTCTTGTCCATTTGTTCAGCTCCAATGCTTTGACCATGTTCGATCGCTGTGGGTAGCCATACATACTTGACGCGACTCTTTCAAGCCCCAGGATGAAAGTGCCTCCCTCAGCCCAGCTGCAATTATTTATCTGGTGTGGTCGTCTGGGAAATAAGAGGTCTCAAGGCATTTGCTTTGCAGCTTCCAGTTGTCATCAATGTAATGAATCGTGAGGCTAATGTCTGGCTCTGTGGTCCGGCTTGACCATAAGTCGGCAGTGGTAGAGAAGAATGCAGCATTACGGATTTCTGTGTAGAGTTCTGGCAGACATGTTTTGCTGAAGTATTTACGGCTTGGGATCTCGTATCTTGGGTCTAGAGTTCGAATCAACTTTCTGAAACCATCTTTCTCCACAGTTTTAATTGGTTCAATGTCTTTCGCTAAGTGATACGTAATTGCACTCGTTATCTCATTCCACTTCTTGCTCTTCTTGTCATAGGGAGTACCACTAACGAATGATGCCTTGAGTAATAGCTGAGTGCGGGTCTGGCTTGATGATGTCTTGGGACTTTCTCCGGGGACTTGTTGCACACATTATGGTAGATTCTTCATAATCACACACATGCAGGGTTTTCAGGTGGTGGAAAAGATTGCGTCGACACAACTTACACAGTACTGTTTGTTGGTCGAGGTCGGATATCTTAAAGCCAAACCAGTTCCAAACGACAGAGGAGGCCCCCTTTTTTCAAACCAATTCTTTGTCGTCCTGCAAATCAACCTCAATAGCGTTATTTTCCTTGTCTACAGTCATCCTCAATGCTTGCTTACACTTTTGCGCTTGATTTTCGGACACTTTTGCAAACAAAAGGAGTTTACTTCACTAAATGTTTGCTTACTCTGCAGTTGTGCATGCTTGTTTGTTGACTTTGATTGGCAGGCAGATTGTGTGTAACGTCCATGCTTCTAGTTTTCTTCTTTGCTAAAAAAGACAGTTTTTAGTAAAATAAACAATTTGAACTAGCCCACTAGGCTGTATCACTCGACAGACATTTTGAACGAAACAAAAACGCCTTATGTCATACATTAATTTATCATGATATGGCAAAATCCATATCATGGCACAATGTCATACCGGTATACCGCCCACCCCTAGGGTCAAACTACCGTCAAATACCATCATAACATCCCATTTTTTTTTAACTACCGTGATATGATATTTTGGCCATATCGCCCAGCCCTATTGTGTGTGTGTGTGTTACAGTGCCTATTCAGGCCTCTTGACTTTTTCCACATTTTGTTACGTTACAGCCTTCTTCTAAAATTGATGAAATTAATGTTTTTCCTCATCAAGCTACACATAATACCCCATAATGACGAAGCAAAAACTGGATTTTAGAAATGTTTGCAAATGTAAAAAAATTAAATAACTGAAATACATTTACATTTTTGTAATTTAGCAGACACTCTTATCCAGAGCGTTAAGTATTCAAACCCTTTGCTATGAGACTCGAAATTGAAATCAGGTGCATCCTGTTTCCATTGATCATCCTTGATGTTTATACAACTTGATTGGCGTCCACCTGTGGTAAATTCAATTGATTGGACATGATTTGGAAAGGCACACACCTGTCTCTATAAAGGTCCCACAGTTGACAGTGAATGTCAGAGCAAAAACCAAGCCATGAGGGTCGAAGGAATTGTCCGTAGAGCGCCGAGACAGGATTGTGTCGAGGCACAGATCTGGGGAAGGGTACCAAAACATTTCTGCAGCATTGAAGGTCCCCAAGAACACAGTGGCCTCCATCATTCTAAAATGGAAGACGTTTGGAACCACCAAGACTCTTCCTAGAGCTGGCCGCCCGGCCAAACTGAGCAATCGGGGGAGAAGGGACTTGGTCAGGGAGGTAACCAAGAACCCGATGGTCACACTGACAGAGCTCCAGAGTTCCTCTGTGGAGATGGGAGAACCTTCCAGAAGGACAACCATCTTTGCAGCACTCCACCAATCAGGCCTTTATGGTAGAATGGCCAGACGGAAGCCACTCCTCAGTAAAAGGCACATGACAGCCCGCTTGGAGTTTGCCAAAAGGCACTTAAAGACTCTCAGACCATGAGAAACAAGATTCCCTGGTCTGATGACACGAAGATTGAACACTTTGGCCTGAATGCCAAGCGTCACGTCTGGAGGAAACCTGAAGCATTGTGGTGGCAGCATCATGCTGTGGGGATGTTTTTCAGCGACATTGACTGGGAGACTAGTCAGGATCGAGAGAAAGATGAACGTAGCAAAATACAGAGAGATCCTTGATGAAAACCTGTTCCAGATAGCTCAGGACCTCAGACTGGGGTGAAGGTTCACCTTCCAACAGGACAATGACCCCAAGCACACAGCCAAGACAACGCAGGAGATCGAACATCTCTGGAGAGACCTGAAAATAGCTGTGCAGCGACGCTCCCCATCCAACCTGACAGAGCTTGAGAGAATCTGCAGAGAAGAATGGGAGAAGCTCCCCAAATATAGGTATACCTAAGAAGACTCGAGGATGTAATCTCTGCCAAAGGTGCTTCAATAAAGTACTGAGTAAAGGGTCTGAATACTTATGTAAATGTTTTTTATTTTCAGTTATAAAATTGTTTTTTCATTATGGGGTATTGTGTGTAGATTGATAAGGGGTCTGAATACTTTCTGAATGCAGTGTATGTATGTGTGTGCAGATGTAGTGTTTGAATGTATGAGGAATTTGTGTGGGAGTGACAGTAGTGTGTGGGAGTGAGTGTGTGTGTAAATGGTGTGTATATAAAGTCTAGTGAGTGTGCGTAGGGTCAGTGCAAGATAGTAACTGCAGATAGTTTTGGTACCATTAATTGACTGCTGTCTGTCTTGTGGGTAGAAGCTGTCTTGGCGCCTGTTAGTCGGAGAGCCGATGCTCCGGTATCGTTTGCCGGACGGTAGCAAAGTGAACAGTCTATGGCTTGGGCAACTGGAGTCTTTGGCAATTTTTCAGGCCTTCCTCTGACACTGCCTGATATAGAGGTCCTGGAGGCAGAGAGCTCAGCCCCAGTGATGTACTGGGCTGTCCGCACCACCCTTTGTAACGCTTTGCGGTAATGCTGGGATGCTGCCAGTCAAGATGCTCTCTTGGGGACGAGGCACTGCCGTGTCCTCTTCACAACTGTGTGGGGGTGTGTGGACGCCAAGGAACTTGAAACTCTCGACCCGCTCCACAGCAGCCCCGTCGATGTGGATGAGGGCGTGCTCTCCCCTCTTTCTCCTATAGTCCACAATCAGCTCCATGGTCTTAGTGACATTGAGGTAGAGGTTGTTGTCCTGGCACCACATTGCTATGTCTTGGACTTCCTCCCTCATTGCCGTCGGTGATCAGGCCTACCACAGTCGTGTCGTCAGCAAACTTGATGATGGTGTTTGCTTAAAGAAGTAATACATTTTTTGCTTTGCTGTTTTTTGCTTTTCTTTATTTGGATTCTGTAAGGTTCATAAATCTACACAAATCAAATTGAAAGAGTGGCAAAGCCAGACACATAGACTACATAATCATCATATAGGGCTGCCAACAACCCCTAAATTACTGTCATAACCAATTTGAGGCCATGTATTTTGAAGTAAGATGGACTCATGCAGTGGTAGAGGAAACACTGAGACTGAATACACTGTCTTCAGCACAGAAGCACCTTTGAGGTCACCCAAGGATACACTGTACATTTTTTAAATCATCTTGCAAGACTAAATATTCACCAGTGTGGGTCTGTTTCTCCTCTGCCACGGCCCAAACACAAAATGATTGTTATTGATGTGTCTCTTTCTTGGCCATTTAACTAGTCACACACTGATAATACTCCCCCTTCCAGCTACGGTGGAATCTTCATACAGTAGGCTACATGTCCTTGAGCCTCCTGGTACTCCCTCATTCCAGCTCCAGGTGGTAAAGCTCTCAACGGCTGCTTGTTTGCTGCCTGACTTTTGTTCAGTGTTTTCCCACCAAGCATGGCTTCCATGCCTGATTAACAACAACAGATGTGACGTTCCACGTAAGTTGCACAGGTCAGGTTGACTTGGCCATCTGTGTTTTTCACCAAATCCATCAACAACACATCAAATTTGAACATGAGGGGTGGTTTCTCTGACACACTTTCTGAAGATTCTCCAATGACCATGCTTTTTAGTAGGGCTGGAAATTGCCAGGGACCTCACGATACGATATTATCACAATACTTAGGTGCCGATACAATATGTATTGCGATTTTCACGATTCTATATGTATTGCAATTTGATGTTCCAAACATATTGCTCACTATATGTGAGCTGCAGAGAGACAAGAGAGAGCATGAGAAAACAAGTTTTGATCGGTCGGGGTAATAAAAGTGCTGAAAACATGTTGGCTCACTATTTAAAAAAGAGGATGGAGAATAAGCTATAGGATGAAAAATACCGGAGTTTTGGCGCCGACTAGCGCTAGCTAATACTACCTACAGTAGAAAAAAACCATTTTATAGTCAAATATCGATATCGTCCCAAAATAATATCGCAATATGTAACTGTCACTACTTTTTAGTGCAGGACCAGGCTTAATCTGTGTTCAGGAAACCGTCCCTGAATGTTGTTTCCACGTGTGCAAAATCAACCTTTTAGGCTGCATGTTGACCCAGATCCACCTTTACCTATTAATTATTTCTAGATAGCGAAAGATGCCAAGGAGTGTGTGCAGGAGTGTGTGAGCGAGTTCATCAGCTTCATCACGTCGGAGGCCAGCGAGCGCTGTCACCAGGAAAAGAGGAAGACCATCAACGGCGAGGACATCCTGTTTGCCATGTCCACCCTGGGGTTCGACATGTACGTGGAGCCCCTGAAACTCTACCTTCAGAAGTTCAGAGAGGTGAGAGGGAGAAGGGAGAGAAAGCCTGTTTGTGTGTGCAATTTCTCGACGTAAGTCATTACCTGTGGACTGGTGTGTACGAGTTCTCAGGAAATCTATGTATGGCCTTAACTCAAACACAAAGGGCGTGATATTGCTGTGTCCTTGCCTTTTTTGGGCCATTAACTTATCACACTGTTGATGCCGTGGAAGTACAGCTCAATGTATAATACTAACACATTCTCAATGTGTATCTATAGGCGATGAAAGGGGAGAAGGGAATCGGAGGCGTATCTGTAACAGAGGGACTTGGAGAAGAACTCACAGACGACAGCTTCGGTAAGTGGGGCCTCAATCCTCATAGAAACCATCAACAGTCGTGGTTATCTTCCTCCAGCACTCTGTTAAAAGCTCAAGGATTAGGCCTAAATGAAAGGATGAGAAGTGATCTATGTATAAATGTACTACTTTGTAATTTATGTGACCGGGTCATCAGCTAGTTTATGGTCCAGGTGACTTTCATGGCCTTATTTACTGCAGTTTTTCCCCCCGGACCCCAGGCATATTCCTCCCCTGAAAATCAACAAATAAGAGATGGGCCTTTTATCCTGGTCTCCCTGGGAAAATAGATGATTAGGCAGTAGTCTAGAGGTTAGAGTGGCCCGGGGCCTAAACCAGAAACCTTTTGGCTGCTGGTTCAAGCCCCGGGCTGGGCCTGGTCTCCTTGGGTAAATATATTTTAGTTGCTAGACAGCAATTTTCAAGTCTTGCCATAGATTTTCAAGCCGATTTAAGTCAAAACTGTAACTAGGCCACTCAGCAACATTAAATGTCTTCTAGGCAAGCAACTTCGGAAAGTATTCAGACCCTTTGACTTTTTCCACATTTTGTTAGGTTACAGCCTTATTCTAAAATGTATTAAATAGTTTTTTTCCCCTCATCAATCTACAAACAATACCCCATAATAACAAAGCAAAAACAGGTTTTTAGAAAGTTTTGCTAATTTATAAAACAAAATACTGAAATATTACATTTACATAAGTATTCAGACCCTTTACTCAGTACGTTGTTGAAGCACCTTTGGCAGCAATTACAGCCTCAAGTCTTATTGGGTATGACGCTACAAGCTTGACACACCTGTATTTGGGGAGTTTCTCAAATTCTACTCTGCAGATCTTCTCAAGCTCTGTCAGGTTGGATGAGGAGCGTTGCTGCACAGCTATTTTGAGGTCTTTCCAGAGATGTTCGATCAGGTTTAAGTCCAGGCTCTGGCTGGGCCACTCAAGGACATTCATAGACTTGTCCCGAAGCCACTCCTGCGTTGTCTTGGCTGTGTGCTTAGGGTTGTTGTCCTATTGGAAGGTCAACCTTTGCCCCAGTCTGAGGTCCTGAGAGCTCTGGAGCAGGTTCTCATCAAGGATCTCTCTGTACTTTGCTCCGTTCATCTTTGCCTCGATCCTGACTGGTCTCCCAGTCCCTGCCGCTGAAAAACATCCCCACAGCATGATGCTGCCACCACCATGCTTCACCGTAGGGATGTTGCCAGCTTTCCTCCAGACGTAACGTTTGGCATTCAGGTCAAAGAGTTCAATCTTGGTTTCATCAGACCAGAGAATCTTGTTTCTCATGGTCTGAGAGTCTTTAGGTGCCTTTTGGCAAATTCCAAACGGCTGTCTTGTGTCTTTTACTGAGGAGTGGCTCAGTCTGGCCACTCTACCATAAAGGCCTAATTGGTGGAGTGCTGCAGAGATGGTTGTCCTTCTGGAAGGTTCTCCCATCTCCACAGACGAACTCTAGAGCTCTGTCAGAGTGACCATCGGGTTCTTGGTCACCTCCCTGACCAAGGCCCTTCTCCCCGATTGCTCAGTTTGGCCGGGCAGCCAGCTCTAGGAAGAGACTTGGTGGTTCCAAACTTCTTCCATTTAAGAGTGATGGGGGACCTTCAACGCTGCAGTTTTTTTTTTTTACCGTTCCCCAGACCTGGGCTTCGACACAATCCTGTCTCGGAGCTCTACGGACAATTCTTTCAACCTCATGGCTTGGTTTTTGCTCTGACATGCACTGTCAACTGTGGGACCTTATATAGACAGGTGTGTGCCTTTCCAAATCATGTCCAATCAATTGAATTTACCACAGGTGGAATCCAATCAAGTTGTAGAAACATCTCAAGAATGATCATTGGAAACAGGATGCACCTGAGCTCAATTTCGAGTCTCATAGCAAAGGGGCTGAATACTTATGTAAAGAAGGTATTTCTGTTTTTTATTTTTAATAAATAAATAATTGTGTGTAGATTGCTGAGGAACTGTTTTTATTTAATCCATTTTAGAATAAGGCTGTAACTTAACAAAAGTCAAGGGGTTTGAATACTTTCCTATTTTGTTGCATTACAACCTGTAATTTAAATTGATTTTTATATGGATTTCAAGTAATGGACATATACAAAATAGTCCAAATTGGTGAAGTGAAATGAAAAAAATTACTTGTTTCAAAATATTCTAAAAAATAAATAACGGAAAAGTGGTCCATGCATATTTATTCAGCCCCTTTTCTATGAAGCCCCTAAATAAATAAGATCTGGTGCAACTAATTACCTTCAGAAGTCACATAAATAGTTACATAAATTCTACCTGTGTGCAATCTAAGTGTCACATGATTTTTATCATAGGTACACTTCAACTGTGAGAGACAGAATCTAAAACAAAAATCCAGAAAATCACATTGTATGATTTTTAAGTAATTAATTTGCATTTTATTGCATGACATAAGTATTTGATACATCAGAAAAGCAGAACTTAATATTTGGTACAGAAACCTTTGTTTGCAATTACAGAGATCATACGTTTCCTGTAGGTCTTGACCAGGTTTGCACACACTGCAGCAGGGATTTTGGCCCACTCCTCCATACAGACCTTCTCCAGATTCTTCAGGTTTCGGGGCTGTCGCTGGGCAATACGGACTTTCAGCTCCCTCCAAAGATTTTCTATTGGGTTCAGGTCTGGAGACTGGCTAGGCCACTCCAGGACCTTGAGATGCTTCTTATGGAGCCACTCCTTAGTTACCCTGGCTGTGTGTTTCAGGTCGTTGTCATGCTGGAAGACCCAGCCACGACCCATCTTCAATGCTCTTACTGAGGGAAGGAGGTTGTTGGCCAAGATCTCGCGATACAGGCAAATGTGGTCCTCTGTAGCTCAGCTGGTAGAGCACGGCGCTTGTAACGCCAAGGTAGTGGGTTCGATCCCCGGGACCACCCATACACAAAAATGTATGCACGCATGACTGTAAGTCGCTTTGGATAAAAGCGTCTGCTAAATGGCTTATTATATTATTATTATTATACATGGCCCCATCCATCCTCCCCTCAATACGGTGCAGTCGTCCTGTCCCCTTTGCAGAAAAGCATCCCCAACCCTTTGCAGAAAAGCATCCCCAAAGAATGATGTTTCCACCTCCATGCTTCACGGTTGGGATGGTGTTCTTGGGATTGTACTCATCCTTCTTCTTCCTCCAAACACGGCGAGTGGAGTTTAGACCAAAAAGCTATATTTTTGCTCATCAGACCACATGACCTTCTCCCATTCCTCCTCTGGATCATCCAGATGGTCATTGGCAAACTTCAGACGGGCCTGGACATGCGCTGGCTTGAGCAGAGGGACCTTGCGTGCACTGCAGGATTTTAATCCATGACGGCGTAGTGTGTTACTAATGGTTTTCTTTGAGACTGTTGTCCCAGCTCTCTTCAGGTCATTGACCAGGTCCTGCCGTGTAGTTCTGGGCTGATCCCTCACCTTCCTCATGATCATTGATGCCCCACGAGGTGAGATCTTGTATGGAGCCCCAGACCGAGGATGATTGACCGCCATCTTGAACTTCTTCCATTTTCTAATAATTGCGCCAACAGTTGTTGCCTTCTCACCAAGCTGCTTGCCTATTGTCCTGTAGCCCATCCCAGCCTTGTGCAGGTCTACAATTTTATCCCTGATGTCCTTACACAGCTCTCTGGTCTTGGCCATTGTGGAGAGGTTGGAGTCTGTTTGAGTGTGTGGACAGGTGTCTTTTTATACAGGTAACGAGTTCAAACAGGTGCAGTTAATGCAGGTAATGAGTGGAGAACAGGAGGGCTTCTTAAAGAAAAACTAACAGGTCTGTGAGAGCCGGAATTCTTACTGGTTGGTAGGTGATCAAATACTTATGTCATGCAATAAAATGCAAATGAATTACTTAAAAATCATACAATGTGATTTTCTAGAATTTTGTTTTAGATTCCGTCTCTCACAGTTGAAGTGTACCTATGATAAAAAATTACAGACCTCTACATGCTTTGTAAGTAGGAAAACCTGCAAAATCGGCAGTGTATCAAATACTTGTTCTCCCCACTGTATATACACCTGTTCTGAAACGCCCCAGAGTCTGCAACACCACTAAGCAAGGGGCACCACCAAGCAAGCGGCACCATGAAGACCAAGGAGCTCTCCAAACAGGTCAGGGACAAAGTTGTGGAGAAGTACAGATCAGGGTTGGGTTATAAAAAAAATATCAGAAACTTTGAACATCCCACGGAGCACCGTTAAATCCATTATTAAAAAATGGAAAGAATATGGCACCACAACAAACCTGCCAAGAGAGGGCCGCCCAGTAAAATTCACGGACCAGGCAAGGAGGGCATTAATCAGAAAGGAAACAAAGAGACCAAAGATAGCCCTGAAGGAGCTGCAAAGCTCCACAGCGGAGGTTGGAGTATCTGTCCATAGGACCACTTTAAGCCATACACTCCACAGAGCTGGGCTTTATGGAAGAGTGGCCAGAAAAAAAGCCATTGCTTAAAGAAAAGAATAAGCAAACACGTTTGGTGTTCGCCAAAAAGCATGTGGGAGACTCCCCAATCATTTGGAAGAAGGTACTCTGGTCAAATGAGACTAAAATTGACCTTTTTGGCCATCAAGGAAAACACTATGTCTGTTGCAAACCCAACACCTCTCATCACCCCGAGAACACCATCCCCACAGTGAAGCATGGTGGTGGCCGCATCATGCTGTGGGGATGTTTTTCATTGGCAGGGACTGGGAAACTGGTCAGAATTGAAGGAATGATGGATGGCGCTAAATACAGGGAAATTCTTTAGGGAAACCTGTTTCAGTCTTCCAAAGATTTGAAACTGGGACAGAGTTTCACCTTCCAGCAGGACAGTGACTCTAAGCATACTGCTAAAGCAACACTAGTGGTTTAAGGGTAAACATTTAAATGTCTTGGAATGGCCTAGTCAAAGCCCAGACCTCAATCCAATTAAGAATCTGTGGTATGACTTAAAGATTGCAATACACCAGCGGAACCCATCCAACTTGAAGGAGCTGGAGCAGTTTTGCCTTGAAGAATGGGCAAAAATTCCAGTGGCTAAGTGTGCCAAGCTTATAGAGACATACCCCAGGAGACAAGGTGGCTTAAC